CCATACGGGTGACCAAGCATATGACATCCTAAATGGGCTCTGAGGGGTGTCAGATAGTTTCCTTGGGTCAGTAGAGGTGGAGTGAGATCCCATTCCTGTCCCCTAGGGGTATAGGATGTCTCTCTGGTATAAGTTTAGGGCATGGCGTGGCCTGTCTGGGAGAGTGAGAGGTATGGGATAGCTCTCTGGCATGGGTAGGGGGTGAAACAGCCACTCTGTAGGGAAGTGAGGGGTGTCGGGGTGCCTGGAAGAGAAAATGAGAAGGGCTGGAGTGTCCAGTTGGGGAATTTGAGGTGAAATGGGTAGGAAAAGATTTTCCAGGAAGCACAAGGTCTGCCCTGGGATGTTGGGAGGTCTTTGGTGAGAGCTGTTTGGTGGAATCGGCAGGAGGGAACAGCATACTTTGGGGTGGGCATCAAGGTGGTCTTTCTCCCCAGGGCCCACGGGATGGGGGTGCAGGCTGCCTCCCGTGTGGGGAAAGCAAGCTGACACCAGGAACCCACAGTCTTTCTCTAAGGGTGCAGGCTGTCTCGGGGGCGCGAGCGTTTCTGGGAGACAAAGGCTATCTGAGGGCACCAGCTGTGTCCGGAGTCATCGGCTGGGTCCGGGGGCACAGGCTGTGTGCAGAGGCACAAGGTTTCTCTAGGAACATGGGCTTGCTGGGGGTACAGGCTGGTCTGGGGACACAGAAATGTCTGGGATCACACGCTGTGCTGGGAGCATAGGAGCTCTGGAGGTCATAGGACAGTTTGAGGGCACCGGCTGGTCTGGAGGTACAGGCTGGTCTAGGAGCACAGACGGGTTTGGGGGAACAGGCTGCTCTGGGGGCAGAGGCTGGTCTAGAGCTACAGACTGGCCTGGGGGTGCAGGCTAGTTTGGGGGTACAGACTCCCTCTCTGCACAGTTTGTGCCTGGGGCAGAGGCTGTGCCCAGAGCACAGGTTGATGTGGGTAGGGGCGCAATCTGAGGGTGCAAGCTCTCTCTCCTCGGGGCTCAGGCACGGGTTTCTCAGACACGGGATACAAGCCCTGCGCGGGGGCGGCGGCCTCTCACCTCCGGGCAGCTCCGCTGGGCCGCAGGTGTCTCTGCCGGCGGGCACGTCCGCCTGCCACAGTCGCTTGGTGCACATCTTCCAGAGCCCCAGGTGGGCAGCATCACAGACGGCACTGCCGTTGTCCCTGTAGGTGTTGAGTTCCACCCAGAACTCGGTGCCCACGGCCAGCACTGCCAGCGTGGCACCCACGGAGGTCAGCAGCAGGGCCAGCTTGATCTTCCCCTCGTGCTCAGGGGTCATCCTGGTCTTGCGCGCCCCGTGAGCTCGCCGCCGGCGGTCCTCCTCGTGCATGAGGAAGTTGGACCACATCATCATCCTCGCCCGCGGGCGACAGGGCCCAGGTGCGAAAGAGGCAGAGCTGAGGCGGGCTCCTGAAGGGTGGGAGTGGGGAGGGAAGCGCCTGGGGTCTTGAAGCAGGTGAGGGGCTCAGTTTCCACTGGTCTGTGAAATGGGAAGATCCGAATCCTCCCTGGAACCTCAAATGAGGAAATCGAGGTCACTTCTGGGACCTAGATCCTCTGCTGGGAGCCCTCTGAGGTTCAGAGAAGAGCCTGGGGTACCCACAGAAGCTCAGCAAAGAAGATGAGACTAGAGATAAAGCTAGGTTCCCCCAGCCTCACGGCTAGAAACTGGGTACCCAGGAGGGGGGCCTGAGAGCTCCAGAAGCAGGAGAACTGAGGGTCAGCTGAAGCTCTGAGGGGCTGCTCTGGGGTCCCCACTGGAGGGAATCACCAAAGGGAAGCTGTGTTTCCTTGCGGGGAGGGAATCCGAGCTTCCCACTAGGGCTTAAAGTTTGGGATACACAGGAAGGGGAGCTGAGGTCCTCTCTGTGTTTGAGAGGAGATGCTTCCTGGCTTCTTTGGGGCTCAGAGTCTGGTGAAGGAGAAGTTGGGTCCGCCCTGGGGTTCAGAAGAGGAAAACTTGGGGTGCAGGGAGTTCAGAAGGGGAGGTCAGAATTACTTCGGAGTCTCAGAGAGGCAGTAGGATTCCCCCAACTTTCACAGCGGGGACCAGCAGAATCCTGGCTGGGGTTCAGAGACAGGAGGCTGGGGACCTGCTGGAATTCAGGAAGAGGGGAGGGGGGTGGTCTTCCTGGCCATTCAGAGAAAAGACCAGAGAAGGTCTGCCCTAGGGGCTGAGACAAAGGGGCTGAGGGACACCCCCAAGGCTCAGGAGGGGGACCTGGGGTCCCTGCTGGGGCTCAGATGAAGGTGCTGTGGTCCGCAATGCGGCTCAGGAAATGGGGACCAAGTCCCCTCACGCGGTTCAAAGGACAACTGGGACCCGGAAGGGACTCGGCGTCCCTTTGGGATCACCCGGCTCCCCTCCCCCGGGCTCCCAGGGCCGGCCGGGTCGGGACGGCTCCAGGCTCAGCTCCAGGCCAGGCGCCTCCGTCAGGCCTCCCACCCCCGTCTCCTGGGTAGGGACCCCTCTCGCTCTCCTGCCTCTGCGCGGCGCCGACCCCAGCTCCGCGACGCCTCCGAGCCGTCGGTTCTGCACGCCACTGCCCGCTCCGCCCGCCGGCCCGACGGCTCCGCTCACTCCCAGCCTCGCCCCCATCCGCCCACCCCCTTCACCATCGCCGGCTATTTCGGGCTCGACCCGTAAATAACACCCGCACCTGTTGCCGCCGCCTGTTGCCATAGGGATCCCGGGTATTTTAAGGGAACGAGGGGCAGGGAGAAGGGCGGCTGCCCGGGGAGGAGGGGCTGGGGGCCAGGTCCCGACCCGCTGGAGACCGAAAGGACTTTCACTTCCTTAAGGGGCAAGGGCGGGAGCTGAGGGTCCCATCTCCCAGCCGGCGGGAGAGGGGGCAGGGCGGGGAACCAGGAGTTTGGGTCCGGAGCAGGCCTGGCTGGGAACCCGAACTGCCCGGTCCAGGCGACGAGGGGCGGGGAGGCAGGACTCCTGGGTAAGAGGGAGGAGAAAGCTGGGGCCGGGGGTCTTGGGTCCCTGAAAGAGAAGAAACTGGGGACTTTAACTCGTGAGACTGGAGGGAGGGGGCTGGAGGCCCGGACTCCTGGGTCTGAGGGGGGGAGGGGCCGGAGGCCCGGACCCCTGGGTCTGAGGGGGGAGGGGCCGGGGGCCCGGACCCCTGGGTCTGAGGGGGGAGGGGCTGGGGCCCAAATCCCTTACATCTTGAAGGATGGAAAGAGAGAGTCCCGGGCTGGGGTCCTCAGCTCCCGAGGAGGTGGAAAGGGCAGGCCTCAGGGAGAAGCTGGTGTCAGGGGCGTGGGAACCAGAGCCACAGTCCTCTTCATCGAGTTTATTAGACGGGGCACCCCCGGGAGACCTTCCATGCAGTTTCAGCTCCCCCAGGGACAGGGACGGGGACAGCCGTGTGGAATGGCAGCAGGGCCTGATCTTTACCCCTTCACTCCGTCCCACAGCCCCTCTGCGATGGCCCAGGGGGACCCACCTTTCACCAGCTCCTTTGCCCACGGTTGACGGCTCCAGCCGGCCCGGTGCATCCTAACCTTCTCTGTCCACCGGGCGCCCTGTGCTGCTTCCGTTGGAGCATGCATGGCCCTGGGATTTGACTGCGATTGTGTACATCTGTGTCTGGCTCTCCCATAAGCCTCTGGCAGGGCTCGGGTGCAAGAGAACCCCATCTCATAGGCCTCAGCACCACCCAGCCCAAAATGCATACACAGGAGGCCTTAGGAAGTGTGCGTAGGTGATCTGCATGAATGAATGAATGAGCAAATGGATGGATGGATGAAGGGAGATGGTGACACACAGACATCCCCCCCCAAGCTAGGGAAGGGCCCCCCTTCAGAGCACACCTCCCTCTGCATTCCGATTGGCCGCACTGCCTGTCTTCAGATCTGAGTTCCCAGCTCTGAGATTGCAGGGCCTGGTGCCTGGAAGGCCTCAGGGACTATCTCTTAAATGAATGAGTGAAACCTGTTCTTTCCTTCACCTCACCGGGTATCCCAGGCCTTGGCAGGACTCAGAGGGGAATCTGAGAAAGTGCCTGGTGCTGGCAGCAACGTGAGATGGGAGTTGGGCTGGGTGACATCCACCAGCGTCTCCATCCTGAGAAATCAGACCTTCCTGCAGTGCCTCTGCCCTGCCTCCTGAATCCATCTTCCCCTCCCGGCCCTGGGCCTCCCCATCTTTCTCAATCTTGCCTGCTGTAATGGCTCTCTCCTTTCGGGGGTTATTTTCCTTGCTTCCGGCTCCCTGTCTGCCAGCCTTCCTTTCTCTCCTTTCACAGAAAGGGTATGCACTTTCTTTGGTGGGAAAGTTCTTGTCACTTTCATACCAAAAGGATGGCTTGGCCTCCCTTTCCCTCCACCTCCCCTCCCACGATCTCTTCCTTCCACTCACTCAGGCAAAACTCCCTACCGCTGCACGGCGATGACCTCGAGTCACGGTCGTGTTATCTAACCCGTGGCCACTTTGCTCCGCGGATCCTTTTCTGGTTCTCAGCACTGGTCTCTGCCTACTTCATGGTCACTCCTTGCCCCCTTAACTACATTTCCTCCCCACCCCCCACCATGCAGATGGCCCCGAGTCTCTGGCCGGGTTCTTTCTCTGTCATCCACACTCATCTCCTAGGTCACCTCATCCAGTCCTGAGGCTTTAAATATGCTGTCTCCTATATGTGGACATTTCCAAAACTTATATTTCCAACCACGACCTCTCCCCCAAGCTCCAGTCTCACATATCCAACTGGCTACCTGATACCCCAGCTTGGGTTTCTCACAGGCCTCTCTTAACTTGTCATGGCCCAAGGAGGATGCTTGACCCCTCCCACCTGATCCCTTCCCCCAGTGACCCCTTTCCAGGCAACACATAGCAGCACCATGCAACTTCACACAGTTAAAAGAGTTTTTCTCTTCTCTCTCTTTGGTTTTTCTTTCCCTCCTCTGTTACATCCAGCTCGCCACCACCAAGGGCTTTGCCTCCAAAATCCCATTTCCTGTTCTTCCATTTTTCTCCACCCTCACCAGTTCCACATTGGTCCAGGCCACCATCAGCCTCAACTAGCCAAGGACGACAGCCTCTTAATTCCTTACTTCCACCTTCACTCCTAAATCTATTCTCAGCACAGCGACGCGGTTCTGTTATTTTGTTTTGTTTTTATAAATTAAAACATGAGCATGTCATTCCTATGCCCATCCCACGGAGTCGAGAATAAAATTCCAATTTCCTCCCAGGGCTACAAGCCCCCACATGACAGGCCCCCGGCACACGCTTCTGACCTCACCCCAATTTTCTCATCCTTGTTCATCTGCTCGCCATGGGGCCTCCTCAAAAATCGGCGACTCCTCAGGGCTTTTGTGCTGTCTCTGCTTGGCCAGAATGCTTGTGGAGTGCCTTTACTTCTCACAACCCACTGCTGTTACTGCTGCAGTGGGTTCTTCCTCAGGCTCCTCCCCTAAAGTCGCCACATCCTGCTTTACTTTCCCCCCACCCCATCCCCACCTGTGCTGTGTGGCTTGCGGGATCTCAGTTCCCCCCACCAGGGATTGAACCTGGCCATGGCAGGGAAAGCCCGGAATCCTAACCACCAGGCTACCAGGGAACTCTCTTTCCTTCTTCATTTGAAAAACACTTCTCTGCAACTGAAATTCTTATATATATTGTTTATTGTTTGTCTCTCCTGTGAGCTCCAGGAGAGCAAAACCTTGGCTATCTGTTCCATACCACATTCCTTGCACCTAGACTGGTCTAGAACAGCTTGGGACTCAATAACTTTCTTGAATACTGAAAACAAACAAACAAAAGAAATAGATGGGTCCTATACCCTGTGCGTGCTTCTGAGTCTCCACATTTCTTTCTGGGCACATCTCTACATTTTTCTCTGCAGCTTTACCCCTCCATTGCTGTGCATTTTTCTCTGCAGCTTTACCCTCCATTGCTCTGTGTGTGTGTGTGTGTGTGTGTGTGTGTGTGTGTATTTGCGACTCTGAGACTTCTCTGGTTTTTTTTTTTTTTTTTTTTTTTTTTTGCGGTACGCGGGCCTCTCACTGCTGTGGCCTCTCCCGTTGGCTCCGGACGCGCAGGCTCAGCGGCCATGGCTCACGGGCCCAGCCGCTCCGCGGCATGTGGGATCTTCCCGGACCGGGGCACGAGCCCGTGTCCCCTGCATCGGCAGGCGGACTCTCAACCACTGCGCCACCAGGGAAGCCCGACTTCTCTGTTTTGACTTGTGTATCTTGGTGGCAATCTCTCTCCTGTCCGTTTTCCTTTCCTTTCCGGATCACCTTTCTGTGTCTTTGACCTTTTCCTTCGTCCCCGTGACTCACCTAGTTTTGGTCTCTGTTGCCCTCATCCTTCCTCCCCCACCTTCCCTCCTTCCCACCGCTCTCCCTTCTGCCCATCCTCCACCTCTTTCTTGCTTTATGTTTGGCCTTTGGACTCTAGAATCCACTACCCCCTAGCCAGCTCTGCCCCCGTCTCCCACCAAATTTGTCTCTCCCTGTCCTTCCCTCCATTTATCATCCCTACACTAAGTTCCCCCCTGTCCCGCTAGTTGTATTCCTTTCCCTCTGTTTCCCAGCATCTCTTTCCAACATTGCCCCCATGGAACTCCTCCCTGGTCCCCTGCCCTCCAGTCTTCTAGTCCATCACAAGACCTGGCAGATGGGGGACCTTGGGAAATCTTTGCTGAGCAAATGAAGGGAAACCCACTGAGCACTGTCCCTTCTGTGTCCTCAGTGACTTTCAAATCCATTCCCCCCATCCCTCTACCCCCAGAGCCCTTTCCCAGCTCAGCTGCCACCCTCTCTCATCTATCCCACAGCACTGGCCTCCTGTCTAGCCCTTTCCCACATCCCAGGTGCCTCCTTCTGACACCCACGTCTGATCCTGCCCTTCACCTGCTCCAAGCTCTCCCGTGTCTCCTGCTACCCTTAGAATAAAGTCCAAACTCCTCAGCCGGGAACCCTAGCATCCTTGGACTCTGGCTTCTAGCTGCTTCTCTGGTCTTATCTCCCACCCCTACCCTGACCTTCTGCATCCCCAAAGGATGAGCCCTGTCCCCAATACATCATGCTCTTATATTCCCCTCCGCCCCCAAGCCGATTCGAGTTGTTTTATTCCCATGAAAGCTTTCCTCATCCCCTTCATCACTCATCCTTTTGAAACCCAGCCTGGGTCTAATGTTCTCCAGGAAGTTTCCCCAAGTACTACCCACTCTTGTCAGTTGGTCACTCTGTCTCTTCTTCTCTGGTCAAGCTGCCCAGCCTGGTCCCTGTTACAGCACCGATCACCCCGCCTGGAGTTCAGTTTTTGACTCCTCCTTGAGAGCACCAGTGGGGATCCTGATACTAATACACTGCCTGGTACATTAGCAGATGCTCAAAAACGTTAGGGAGTGAATGGCTGAATTAATGGATGAGTGAAACATGAATCTCTAAGTCCTAGTGTTTCTCCTGCACACCAGACACCATGCCTGTGCTTCAGTATTTGTGTGATTATCTGCTCCCTCCCACGAGTGAGACTTTGAAGGGCCAGTGCCTGTGTCTGACGCTGTATTTCAGCATGCCTCTGCCTCTCTCTCATCTCTGAGTTCCTTCCTCCCTTTCTGTACCATTCACGTTATGATCCTGTTTAAAGCCATTCCATGTCTCCCCACTGCCCTCAAATTAAATCTAAACTCTTGACCTGACCTTCAAGTCCCTGGGCAGTCTGGCCCTGCCTTCATCTCCAGCCTCATCTTGTTCCGTCTGCGTGTGGCTCACTAGTACATGTTAGCCTTCTCTGGAAGCTCTTCCTGCCCCAGGGCCTTTGCATATGCTGTTCTCTGGCTAAGACACTTCCCTCCAGCTTCACCTGGCTGGCTTCTTGTCATCCTTTTGTGTTGGCTAAAATATCCCTTCCTTTTAAACTGGGCTAAGCCTCCCTGAAGGAGCATTCTGGATTTCTCCTTTGCCCTAACTGTAACTTACTGTGGTGTATACATTTCTTGGATTAATGTCTGTCTCATGCACAAGATGTAAACTCTGTGAGGATGCTGGGGACCCTATCTGACTTCCCTCCTTCTGTAGGCTCAGCATTTGGCACAATGCCTGGCACTTAAGTACACAAATAAATTGCTGGTAATGAATGATCAAGTCTGTCTCTGGGACTGTTTCCGTTCCCTCCCCAGCGCCATCCTGGTACATAGCAGGTGCTTTTAAAGCCCTTGTGGAAGGATGAGTGAAGAAGTGAACGAATGCCCACGTCTGTCCCTTGTCACTTTGCCTTTTTCTGCATCCCTTCTTTTATCTTTCTGTCTCTTTACATAGAGCATATATATAGTCTGCAGGTATAACTAGATAGTCGTGTGTTATGGGTCCCTCTCCAGGAGTTGGGCTGGGCTGGGAGTCCCTCCCCCGTGCCCCGCCCCCACATGCACACAGCAAAACATCAAAAAGAAAACATCTCAAAACTGCAGAAAACACCACAGCCCTCCCCCTCCCCCCCACAAAAAATAAATAAATAAAACAAAATTTACAGTGTATTTTTATTGCCATCTAATTGGTACACAGCATGGATCCATATTTATTTCTTATGGTGCATCGGCGGGCGCTCCCCCACGCCCGAGAGGTGGGGAGGGGGCGCGGGGGAGCACCAAGCAGTCTCCAGCGCGCTCACGGGGAAGGAGGGTGGCGCCCCCGACCCCCGGCAGCCTCGTTGCACGCGCGCCCGCGCACGCGCCCCGGACACGCCCCCTCGGCGCCCCCCGTCGCGCCCCTACACGGGCGTGGTTTTCCTGTTGAGCGTGTTGCCGTTGGAGGCGGCGGCCTCCTTGGCCAGGGTCCCGGGGGCTGGCGCGGCGGGCGCGGGCGCGGCGGGCGCAGGCGCGGCGGGCGGCCCGGTGACCGTGACCGTGACGCCGCCGCCCGCCTCCTTGGGGAAGGCGTTGTGCAGCGTGAGGAAGCCGGACGCCCCCCCGCGGTCCCGCTCTGAGCCCGCCCCGCCGCCGCCGCCGCCCCCCGCGCCCCCCGCCGCGCCGCCGTACGCCCCGCCGCCGGCACCGGCGCTAGCCAGCCCCGCGGCCACGCTGCCCTTGGACGGGTCGCGGCTGAGCGTGTACATGGAGATGTCCGTGGAGGCGAAGCCCGGGCCCCCGGCGCCGCCGGGAGACGCGTCCCGCGACGGCGACGGCTCGCTGGAGCGGGAGCTAGAGCGGGAGCGGCGGCGGTAGCGGAAGCGGTAACTGGGCAGACGGAGGATGGCCGAGGGGCCGCTCCCGCCACTGCCGCCCGCGCCCCCGCCGGCCTTGAGCAGGTCCGAGCGAGACTGGCAGTGCGCCTCGCGGCTGCGCTCGATGTAGATGTTGACGGCCAGCACGCCGATCACCTCGGCCAGGATGAACGACAGCCCGCCGAAGTAGAAGGACCAGCCGTACGAGTAATGGTTCTTCTTCTCCTCGTCCCGTTTCGGGCCCGGCTCGCCCGCGTTGGCCGAGATGTACACGATCACGCCGATGATGTTGCTCAGGCCTGGGCGGGGACGGTCAGACGGGAGCCTCGAGGCCACCCCCTCTGCGCGTCCCGGGGTTCGACATCTCCCGCCAACGATCGGGCAGCCGCGGATCCAGCGCTGCCGCCCCCCGGCCCGGCCCGGCCCGGCCCCGCCGGCCCAGGCCCCGCCCCGCTCTGAGCTCCACCCCCGATGGTCCAGACCGCCCCGCCCACTGGCCAGCCCAGGCCCCGCCCCATGTTGGCCTAAGCTCCACCGTCAGATGGTCCAAGCCCCTTCCCAGATGGTCTAAATTTCTTCCCAGGTGGCCCAGGCCCCGCCCCAAAGGGCCCCCAAATCCTGCTTCGGATGGTCCACCATCCCCAGCTAATTCAGGTCCTACTCTGTTGGTCGAAAGCCCACCCTGGTCGGTCTAAACTCCGCCCCGGTTGGTCCAGGGCCCACCCCAGAAGGTTTAGGATCACCCTTAATGGTCCAGATCCCTCCGGGATGGCCCAAAGCCCTGCCCCAGATGGTCTAAACTCCTTCCCAGACGGCCCAGGCCCCTTCCTCGCCGGCCTAAACTCTGCCCTTGATAAGATGACCCTGGCTGGGGTTTCCTGGCCCTACCCTGACTGGTCTAACTCCACTCTTAACTTTATAAATCTTGGTGTTCCCTAGGCCTCACCCTCTGCTCGTTTAGTTAATGAGGTAATCCCGCCCTGACTCTCTAGGCCCTGACTCTGGCTGATCTGAACTCTTTCATGATTATCCTCTATTCTAGGTCTCCCCCATACTACTCTTACTAAAGCAGGTCTCCCGTCTACTCTAAGCCCCGCCTCCAGCTTGCTAAACCCTGCCCCCCTGAGGATCGCGGTCAGGCTCCTCCCCCGTCCCAGATGTAGTTAGCCCGGTCTTTCAAATCCTCCAAGCCCCACCCCCTGCAGATCTTGACCCAACTCCAAAGCATCCCCTGCTGTTTATGCTAAATCCTCCCCCTTCTCCTCTGGATTCCATCCCTTCAGAAAGGCTGACTCCTCGAATTTCCCAATACTACTCACTTCGAGTAGAAAGGGGGTCTCGCCCCTTAATGCCCTCCCTCACTACCGAGTTGGTCTGGATGCTTTCGCAGGACCAGACCCTTTTTGGGTACACCGGAGCCCACGAGGCCCCGCCCCCTAGAGCAGGCTCCTCCCCATCTGAATCCAAATCACTTTCTCCCTCTCAGGTCTGTCTTCTGTCTTCAAGACCGCAATTCTGCCTCAAGGGCCCACCCCCTCTCCCAAGCTCCTCCCCTTCCGTCTCCTGGACCGCGAGCTTTGGAATCTAAACTCCTGGCATCCCGGATTACGCGGTAGACAGACACCTGTCTGTGCTGGGTTCACTCGCCCAGAAGACTACCGGAAGGCGACACCTACCTCGCCCAGCGGGTGGCGATGGAGCTTGGGAAGAGCCTAGGAAGGCTCCGGGCTCCAGGGAGCGCCCGGGCAGGGTAGCTTTGCAGGCGCGCGCGCGCGCGCACACACACACCTGCGCGCTCGCAGGTGGGCCGCCCCCTCCCTCTGCCTCTCACCTGCTGCCACGAACAGGATCCCTGCTCCCAGAATGATGTTCCTCTTGGACTTGTAGACCCGGGAGGCCGCCACGCACACGCCCCCGAGCAGCAGCAGGATGGCGCTGAGGATGGGGAAGATGCTGGAGGCCCGGACGACTCCTGGAGAAAGGAGAGTATGGGGAGAGATGGGGGGTGGGAACCAGGGCGTCAGACACGGCCCCCTGGCCCCCTGGCGCCCCGCGCCTCCTGCTGCCTCCGTCTCCGCTTCTCTCTCGCTGGTTCTCCAATCCTCCTTCTCTGCCTGGTTATTTTCTGTTATTGTCTCACTTTCTCTCCTCTTTAAAATTTCTTTCTCGATCTGATTGCCTCTCTCTTTTTCTGTGTCTTTTTCTTTCTTCCTCTATTTTTCTCTCTCCTGGCATATTTTTCTTCCCTTTGTTTCCTCTAATCACTCTCCCTCTCTCTTTTTTTGCCCCTCGGAACTTCTCTATTTCTCTGTGGACCCTCTCCCTCTCTCTTTTTCCTTCTCGCACAAATATGCAATCATTTAAAGCAACAACAAAAAGCTCCCCACTCTCCAATCTTTGATATCTACCCTTTATGCATATTTATTCCTCTCCTGCGCATTTTCATTTTTTCCCAGATCTTTCTGAATCAAATCTCTAAATACCTCTCTCCCTCCCACCCCATCCCCCTTTCTGCCAGGCTTCACCTCTCTCTCTGGGTTTCTCTTCTCTCTTCCCCTGCCCCCTCCCTCTCTCCCTCTCCCGCTCTCTTCTTCCCTTCCTCCTCTCTGTCCCTCCCCCCACCCCTTTCTGCCTGGCTTCATCTGTAGCTCTGGGTTTCTCTTCTCTTACTTTCTCCCTTCTCTCTCTCTCTCCCCCTCTCTCTGCAGTCCTTGCCCCCGTCTCCCAAACCCTAGGCAACCAGATTCTGCGATTTCTGAGCCCGGTTGAGGCCGCAGCCAATCATAACTCTGGATTTGCCGCGTTCTTGGGTTAGCTACCAGTCCCACCACAGGCTTCCCCAGCCAGCTCCCTATCCCTAGAATGGCCCGTCCGCGCCGTCCGCGCCTCAGGTTGCCTCACGGCCCCAGGGCGCAGCGGCCAACCCCAACCCAGAGAGTCACTGCACTGAGTTGCCTCGAGTACCCAGGCCATCATGACGGCCAATCAGCTCCCGGGATCCCTTCTCAGCCCGCCCCAAGGTGAGAGGAGGGGGCGGGAGAGACCACTGAGCCAATCGGTGACCAGAGGATCTCAGTATCTGGGCTTGGATTGGCTGACAAGTTCACCTCTGCGTGTGGTTCTAAGTGCCGAAGCACAGCCCCCTCTCCCCTCGCACTTGCCCAAGCCCGGCAGTCCCCCCTCTCTGTCCCCGACCCCCACGTACGGAGCAGATACTCCGCGCTGTCATGGTCGTAGTCCGTGTCCTCCGGGAAATGGTTGATCTTCACGCAGACGCCTCTTTTCAACCCTGGAGGGGAATGGAGGTGATAGTCGTGGGCACTTAAGAGTGCGGAAACCCCGGGTGAGAAAAGACCCTCCTCAAACCCCTTCTGATTGGGAGACAGGAAGTAATGGCTCCTGAGCCTGTCTGTGCACCTGGGACAAACTTTCAACCTCCCGGCTCCGGTTTCCCTACCAGTTAAAATAAAAGAAAAAAGGAAAAGGAAGGAAGGGAGGGAGGGAGGGAGGAAATCATCCAACACTCACTAAAAGGCCACAAGAACTTTTGCCCTGTAACCTGTACGGGGACAGTCTCTCTGGCCTCTGTTTCCACCTCTGTAAGAAAAAAGGCGTTGCTTTCAGCCATGTCGTCACTCTTCAACTCAAAATCGGTTGAAAATGCGTGGGAAAACGAAGAGGCGGCAGAGGGCCAGGAGGACTACACTTCCCATGAGGCCCTCTGAAGTCTTCGAGTCCAATTGTGAGGCGAGAGAAGCCCCAGTGGATCCCCGGGGTTGTAGTCTCTTCAATCCTCCATACGGGAGGGATTCCCCGGCTCTCTGCGCAGTGCACCTGGGGTCCTCTGGGAGGAGATGCAGAGGCACGCTAGGGGCGCAGTATGCCTCCAGTGGTCCTGCAGCCTCAGCCCCTTCCTCCCCGCAGGAACCCACTTCCTTACACAGCTGCAGACCGATGTATAAATAAGTATAACTTTAAATACACTTTGTTTCCTCAATTCTCCAGGCTCCTTCCAACCTCCCGGCCACTGCCCAATGCTGCAGAACATTCTGCTTCCATTCTTCATTGGCGAAAAACTTACCCTTGCAAGCGAGCAGTGCACGGGACACCGGCTTTTGGAAGCTTTCGCTCACACGCTCACACACACACACACACACACACACACACACACACACACACACACACCTCCCACCCATTCTGGGGTGTAGCAGCTCCCCGCACTACCACCTTTTTAGCATGCATTGGTTTGATTTATGATCCTCCTCAGCACGCTAGGAGTTCCTGCAGGGGGAGGGCATGGGGTCTGATTCCTCCGTGTGTCCCCAGCATTGCCTGGCACAAAGGAGGCCTCAAGAAATGAGTGTTGAAAGAATTAAATTATGAATGAATGTAAGGATGACAGAAGGGGAGATTCGAGGCAAAAGATGACACGGAAAGAAATGGGGGTAAAGGAAAAGATTGGAAAGAAGGACTATAAGGCAGTGAATAATTCCACTAAGAGCTACCATTTGTTAAGTGCTTCCTAGATGGATTAACTCATCCGGAGCTCACAGGAGATCCACGAAATAATGTTATTGGTGTCGTGCAGTGACCAAACATTGAGAATTGGAGTCGCACTGCTTGATAATGAAGCCTGAGTCCATCATGTCCTTATTCTGTGACCTTGTTGGTCTTACTCGGGCCAATTTGCTTCAATCCCTTTTCCTATAACAAGGGGCTACTAGGACCTACCTCACTGGGTTGTTGTGAGGGTTGAATCCAGGTATAGAGATTTAGCACTTTGCCTGGAACACAATTAAGTGTTCAGCTGATAACCACGCCGTATACCCATTGTCCAGATGAGGAAGCAGAGGCATAACAAGCGTTCATCAATTCACAGCTGATGGGTGGTGGAAGCAGAATTCAAACACACCGCAGTTTGCCCCCACTGAAATGTAAGCTTATAGGCTGTTCACCACTCTTCAACATCTAGAGCAATGCCTAACACATAGTAAGTGTGTAATAAATATTTTTATGTATGAATGATTGAATGGGCAACAAGCACATGAAAAGATCCTCCATATCACTGATCATTAGGGAAATGCAAATGAAAACAACAGTGAAATACCCTCTCATAGATATGAGATACCATCCCATTAGGATGGCTACTATAAACAAGCAAACAAACAAAATAAAACAGAAAATAAGTGTTGGTGAGGATGTGGGGAAATTGGAACCCATGTGCACTGTTGGTGGGAATATAAAATGGTGCAGTCGCTACGGAAAATAGTATGGAGGTTTCTCAAAAATTTTAAATTACTATATGATCCAGCAAGTCCACTTCTGGGTATATACTCAAAAGAATTGAAAGCAAGGTCTCTAAGAAATATTTGTACATCCATTTTCGTGGCAGCATTATTCACAACAGCCAAAAGCAACCTAAGTGTCCATCAATGCATGAACGGATAAACAAAGTGTGGCATATACATAGAATGGAATGTTATTCAGCCTTTAAAAGTAAGGGAATTCTGACACATGCTACAACCTGGATGAACCTTGAAGATATTATGCAAAGTGAAATAAGTCAGTCACAAAAATACAAATACTGTATGATTCCACTCATGTGAGCTATCTAGAGTCATCAAATTCACAGAGACAGAAAGTAGAATGATGGTTGCCAGGGGCTGGGAGCAGGGAAGAATAGGTACAGAATTTCAGTTTTGAAAGATGAAAAGTTTTGGAGCTTTTTGGGAACCCAGTGTGAATCTACTTAACATTACTGTACTGTGCTTTTAAAAATGGTTAAGATGGGGCTTCCCTGGTGGCGCAGTGGTTGAGAGTCTGCCTGCCAATGCAGAGGACACGGGTTTGAGCCCTGGTCTGGAAGCGTCCCACATGCCGCGGAGCGGCTGGGCCTGTGAGCCACAACTACTGAGCCTGCACGTCTCAAGCTTGTGCTCCGCAACAAGAGAGGCCGCGACAGTGAGAGTCCTGCGCACCAAGATAAGATGAAGAGTGGCCCCTGCTCGCCGCAACTAGAGAAAGGCCTCGCACAGCAATGAAGACCCAACACAGCCAAAAATAAATAAATTAATTAATTAAATTTTAAAAAAAGAAAAAGAAAATAAACTTGCTTTAAAAAAAAAATGGTTAAGGTGGTACATTTCACATTCTGTGCATTTTACTTAAAAAAAAAAAGCCATTGAATGAATGAATGAAGATACACCTTTTGAGTGCAGATGTTTACCCATCAGCACATCCAGTAGGGTGTGTGGGGGGGGTCAAGTTCTCTCCTTTCTTGAGTGGGATTACAGTACTCTTCTCTCAAAACATGAATGATAATTCAATGAGATCGAGCATGGAGAGCACACGGCATGCAGACTCTCCACGGACTAGTCATGCTGGCAGTAATGATAACTAGTACGTACTGAGGGCTCACCACACACTAGGCACGGCTCCAAGCACTTGACAGGTAGGTATTAACACAGTATGCGTGACCAACCCTTAGAAATACTAGGCAGTGACGGTATCCCTGCTTTACAGGTGAGGAAACTGAGGCGTAGAGTTGAAGAAATTGCTCAGTTCTATAGATGGTAAATCATGGGGAGGAGTCTCTGGGCCTCAAAGGTGAGCTTTTTTTTTTTTTTTTCAAGGTGAGCATTTTCTTTTCTTTTTCTTTTTCTTTTTTTTTCTGGCCAAGCCCTGCGGCTTGCAGGGGTCTTAGTTCCCCAACCAGGGATCAACCCCCCTGCCGTGGAAGCGCAGAGTTCTAACCACTGGACCGCCACGGAAGTCCCAGAGGTGAGCATATTTATGGCGGCAGAGTGTAGTGGTTATGTTGGCCACGAGCACGGGCTTTGGAATCACATTCTCTGGACTCACACGCCAGGGCTGCCACTTCCCAGCTGGGTGGCTTTGCGGATTTGGACACCCCTGAGCCTCGGCTTCCTCGTTTGGAAAATGCGGATGGTGATAACGACCACATACGGTTTGCGAGCATTCAGTGACACACGAATGACAGAGTCAAGCGCGGACTGCACGGGGGTTATGCGGCACGCCTCTGCGTGTTATCCGACCAGCTGGGCTGGGAGCTCCTTAGGTGCAGGCATGGTGGTGATGCGTCTCTGAGTCTCCCCAGGGCCCGCCTAACACAGACCCGGGCAGGCAGCGGTGGGGGGGAGTGGGGAAGCGGGATGGGGGGCGGTGCGTAGGGGTGTGTACTGCGGCGAGGACCACGGCTCTGCCCCTCGTACGTTGGGTGGCCATGTGGCTGACTCACTTCCCCTTTCTGGCCTTTAGCTTCCTGCTCTGACAAACTCGGGTGATAATAATACCTTCCCCCTGGAGCAACTGGGAGCATTCAATGAGATAATAAGGCACGCAAAGTGCCGAGAACAGGGGCTTTATATAGTCCGCTCGAATAAATTGGGCCGTGGGTCCAGATTCTGGAGGCTGAAATTCCTGAGAAGGGAGCTAGACCCATACGGATCCCCCAGCCCTGGGGTTGGTTCTGGGGCACTTGAGATGTGGCAATTGAGACGGAGTGTGAGTGTAAAATGGGCACCAGATTTCAGATTTGGTATGAAGAAAAATGCATACTATTTGATTAATAATCGTTATATTGCTAACATGTTAAAATAATATTTTGGCTACGCTTGGTTAGATAAAATGTACTACTAACCTTTATATTAATGTATTATATTGTATAAATTGTATTTATTAAATTAGATTCATTGAACCTTCCCCTTTGTACTTGTTTTAATGCCACCGCTAGAAACATTTAAGTGACGTAGACAGCTTGTGTGATGTTTCTATTGGGCGGTGCTGGTTGGGAGGCTGGGAATTCTGGGTTATCAAGGAGGGGAAACTCAGGGGTTGGTCATCTGAATTCATAATAATAAGAAGAAGAAGAACAGAATATAAACGACATAGTCTAGCCTTTACCCTGTGCCTGCTGGCCTTTTGAACGCTTTACATGTAATAACTCATTGAATTCGCTCCACAGCCCTGTGGGTTAGGGGCTGTTACAGTCCCCCTTTCACCGATGACGGAAAGAAAGCACAGAGAAGTAGAATATATGGCTCAATGTCACCTTTCTGTGCGTGGCAGACAGGAAGTAACCCAATCAGGCTTGTTCTAGAGTCTGTGTCCCAATCACTACTTTCTACTGCACTTCTCAGAAAGACTTGGAGGGAGATGAGGATGGGACCTAAGAATTCCTGGGGACAGAGCGTCTTCAGGGGGCAATGGCCCGGGGGGGGGGGGG